AGTTAAGTATCCTGCCTTCAGCTCAGATAATGATCCTGGATCCTGGAATTGGGCCCCATGTCAGGCTCCCTGCTCAGCGAGCAGTCTCAGTGTGTGTGTGTGTGTCTCTCTCTCTCTCTCTCTTTCAAATAAATAAATAAATCCTAATAAATAAATAAATAAACAAACAAACATACATACAATTTATAGCTTTTTAACTGAAGGAAAAATACTAGAATATTTTTAAAAATTGCCAATAGAATGCAAGAAAGAAAATTTAGAGAAGGACATAGTTTGTGGGATATATCTAAAAAGATACTGAGAGGAACATTATAGCCTTATATGCTTTTACTGAAAACCAAGAAAGCCCCAAAATACAGGAGTTAGTTTTTCACCTAAATAAACTAGAGAAAGAACAGAATAAAACCAATTAAACAGCAAAACGATAATGAAGATAAAAGCTGAAATTAATTGGAGCAGGGGAGAAATGCACCCCACTTCTATCTTCCTCTTGTTAAATACTTGGACTCTGGCACTTCAACTGCCAATGTTCTCAGCCGCAAGTCTGGAGACTCGGGTCTAAAGATATGAGTGGGCCTTTTAAAGGGAAGTAGGGGCAGTGGGGAGAGTAAAGGGACATGGGTATAAAACTTACTAAGCAGAACTACTTGAAAGAAAAAGGGAAGAAAACAACTTCAGAAATCAAACTCATGTGACCCAGATTCCATGGAGAATTGTCCTTTTTGGAATCATAATAACTATTTTAAAAATTCAAAATATCCTTGAAAATTTGGGAAGTATGGCCACAGACCCCATAGTGCAGTCAATTCAGCATGAGTTCAACTGGCATTTATTAGCCGGACACTGTAGTGCTGCTGGGCTACACAAGTAAGCCAGATGTTGGTCCTGGTCCTAGAGGACAGAGTGACAGGGATATGAACCTACAGGGGGCACTCAGTACAGTTGGAGGACTTGGAGTTAGGGTGGTGCATAACTCCATGATTGTTCTATCCCCCAACCCAAAAGGGGAAATAAAACAATTCTGGGGTTGGAACTGTCAGTAATTGGCAGAGATAAGAGGTTTTTAAAAGGGCAAACTGTGAAAAACATTTATAGGTTCTCAGGATAATAAAACAAGGATATTATTCCAACCCCATTAGAAGTAGCCACAATGCTGTAAGTGTAAGGATAATGCAGGAGAGGGAAAAATATTTTTCTTTCTATCCTTCTAAGTATCTGCTGGTGCTCTGCAACAAAAGTCATATAGTTATAAGGAAGATTCAAATGGGGATCACAAATTTTGCCTGATTCCCTTCTAATAGCTTTTGTTGTTTACTGCCTTGGGTTAGGATTTATAATTTGACAGAACAAGGGTGAGAGTGGGTATCCTTATGTTACTCTTGATTTGGAATACTTCTAAAAAACTTTAACATTGAATATGTTTGCTATAGGTTTTCAATAAATGTCTTGGAAGGAAGGACACTGCCTTCCATTTATAGTTTGCCAAAAAACTCTTTTTTCTTATAATGAATAAGTATTACATTTATCAAATACTTCCTCTCTCTGAAAAATAATCATGATTTTTTTTCTTTATGTGTTGAGCAGTAGATTTTTTTTTGTTGTTTTTTTTTGTTTCGAAACATTCCTGTTATTCTGGAATAAACCCTACTTGGTCATTTTGTGTTCTAATGTTAGTAGGCTGTCGACTTGTATTTGTTGAAGTTACATTTAGGATTTATTTGTAGGTTGTAAGGTGAAATTGGTCTACAACTTTTTAAAATTATTCTTGATTATCCAGCTTTGGCTTCAAGTTTATAAACTCACAAAATTAGCTGATTTTTCCCTCCTTTTCTGTTTCATGAAATAGTTTGTGTGTTAAAGAGACTGCTTCACCTGAAATATTTGATGAAGTTATACTATGAACCATCTGAGTCTAACACTTGTTGTGAGATTTGAAGATTTGACTGATAATTCAATTGACATTGTCCATTGGTTTGAATTTTCTGTATTGAGTGAAAATTATCATTTAATCCAAGTTTTCAAATTCAGTGTTATTAAATAGTTCATAATATTGACTTGTAATTTTTAAAGTCTCCACTATAACTGTAGTCTTTGACCACCTTCTCAGGTCTTAAAAAACAAAACAAACCAAAAAAAACACTACAAGAATTACATAGACGATCTCAAAAGAAAAAAAAATCAATTCATGGTTATTTGATAAAACCAATAAAGTAGACCTTGCTCATCTAGATCAAGAAAAGAAATGAGGAAACAAAAATAATACCAGATGCTATTTAAAGTCTGTAAAAGGATTTCAGTCTAAAATGGAACCGAAGATAGGAAACATGCTCCCTCAGAAGAATGGAACTCGAGAACAGGGAGACTGGGTCCCTGTAAATACCTGATTTACAGAGGATTGAGACTTGTCTCCTGACCAATGAACATCTGCCAAGAACCTCTCACCATCCTCCAGACTCTGGCCAGACTCCCTTCTCTGTGCGCTCCTTCACATTAACAGAGCTGCCCCAAGCCTGCATTGGACCTGCCTGCAGCATGCATTTTCCAAATTGCAATTCCTCTGCTATTCCTAAATAAACCCAGTTTCTGATCATTCAAGCTTGCCTCAGTTTACCTCTTTCGGTTAACAGATTTCTTCCAATTCTAAAATTGTCTGGTTCCTGTGATTGTGGATTAGCAAGTCCCTACCAAATCACTTTGCCTCTCCAGCCTCACCTTTGTCATTCCATATGGTCACTATGTCTTTATCATACAGCATAGCCAGGGATGGAGGCAAGTCTCTATGACTTACTTACCTGACCTGTCCGTTTAGCGGGTCTGGTTAGAGAGGAAAGAACAGCTAAACTGATTCACGTAATTCACTGTAACATAGCCATTGCTCACACATGGTAGCATTGTAATGGGCCCTTGATGAATACCTACAATATCATGGCTAATAGAGGAGGTTAAAAAAAGATACACGCTCCACCCTCAAAAATTGAAATATACTGGGAAGACAGGTATTAAGTCATTACACAGACCATTACAATTACGAAAGGTGCTCTGAAAGAGAAGTATAGGCTGTCATAACAGGGGACTGCTGGATGGAGTCTGTGAGGCTTAGAAGTGAAGGTGGTAGCCGAGGACCAGAAGTAGGGTAGGGAAGGTGGAAACAGTATATGGAGGAAGTAGCTTAGTGTGTTCAAGAAACCAAATAAGCCAAGCTCATGTGAGCCTGGAGGACAACAGAAGGAGCTAGAGCTTTTCAAGAACTGGGGACTTTATCCCAAGATCAGTGGGAAGCCCTGGATAGTTTTTAACACCACCTCTGGCTAAGCCTCAGAAAGCCTACATTCCAGTAGCCATAGATCTGTAATTACCTCATTTTTAAAACAAACTTTTATTTCCCCCCCTCGAGAAAGCAGAAGTCACTAGGAAGTATCCCACATCTGACACCTGCCAATTAGTATAGTGAATGCTTGCTTCCTTTAGATAAACCATGACTTTAAACTTGTTCTATATAATTTGTTAGCTTGAACTAGTTTGCGGTACAACAAACAGTCTGAGCTATTCTCCCTGGTTTTTAAAATAGTAATTTACTTTAAAATGTTTTTCTTAATGTCTTGGGGGCCTGTATTCTGGCTGACGGCATTATTATACTATTATCGTGTATTACGTGTTAATCAATGGGTTGCTGACAGCAAATGCTCAGTTGGGCGCCTCCCATGTCTGATGTAAGAGCCCACTGGTACCTCAGCTTGGGTCAACCTAAGAGGACATTACATGCTAATTCTTGGCAATCCCAGCCTTTTAGCCAATCCCCCTAAATTTCCACATTCTCAAGCGGCAAAAGGATGTTGTCTAAGGAAAAAGCAACTGGTATAACCAGCATAGTCCTATCGTGTATTGTTACATTAACCCATGGAGGATTTATCACAGGATCTTGACTTTACTGGAGGAGAGAAAACCAAGGATGTTTTTCAGGAGCCGTGATATTTTGTCAAAAGCACCTAGATGGTAGCTTTATTATGTTCATTTGAAATGTGTGTTCTGAACCGATGCATTTGTCTGACAACTTTATTGATATTTCAAGTTGAATAATCATTTTTTGTGTGTTTGGTTCTTCAGAGGTTTTACCATTTAAAAAGTTATATACTTTTTCTGATCAGTGATTCACCAAAGGGTTTATAGTAATATCAGGCTTGGTGTAAACCGGTTTATAAATTTGCTTTTCTAACAGATATATTTATACCTTAGCACATATCCCCTTAGGACTTCATAGTTATATAATGAAACATTTTTTTATTGTGGCAGTAACTTATAACCAATACTTACTATATATATACTTATATGTGTATAAGCCATGTAAACAAAGGCAGTAACTTTTAAAAGTATCTAATTTTAAGTGTCTGCCCAATATAATATTGAGCTTGAATAAACTGGAGAAAAAATAGGATAAACGGGAAAATGACTACATTTGTGTTTATCCATCCTTAAAGTCATAATTTGAAAAATAACTCTCTCAGTGACTACTTATCATCCCAGTACTTTATTTTAATAATTAGAAATACTAACAAATAATGACATTACTAATTGAAATATCAATTTTGACAAGTCTTTACTTATTTCTCTATTAAAATGACTTCCTAAAAATAATCATAGGAAGTTATAATGAATCGCTTGTTAATTAAATTTGAACTTTTGTCCTCTAGTCTTCAAACGAAAAAAACTCAAATATGATATATTCAAATTGCTTTATACTAAATTGAACATTAATGGTTATATAAATATAATTTATGGTAATATACACATGAATGCGATAAGAATCTGTAAATTCATAATGGAATTTGCTAGTTTTGAATATTGGCTTATTGTTTAAGTTCATTTTGTTCCTGAAAGTTCAAGGACTCAAATAATGTTTTACCAGCATTTTCTAATTAGCCAAATGTAACTTTCCATGAAAAATTTAAACATTCTTATCCAACTAACAAATCAATCTATCTTTTCTTCTCTTGTTTTGTTAGCCTCTTAGCAAATACCCTGCTGTGATAAATGACATCTCATTCTGGTTGCCCTCCGAGAATTATACAGAAAATGATTTCTATGACTTGGTACGAACAGTTGGAGGAGACCTGGTGGAAAAAGTTGATCTGATAGACAAATTTGAACATCCAAAGTAAGTAAAAACACTTTCTGATTTTATCTGTTTTTTTGTCTCTATGTGACAAATGGCATATGAAAACATATAATAAAATTTTGCTGAAATTCAATGCAGATGAGACAAAATATCTCCAGAATTTATAGTGAATATATAGTTATGAGAAAAGGCTTTGATATCAGTCTTTTCTATAAATCTTTCTAAAATGCATCTTTAATCTTTCCTGTCTTAGCAAATATGTGAAACAGAATGTTTTAAAGATCTTGGAGTTTTTCAGTATTGTTTTTAGAAGTGATTTGTTACCATATCACATCCCAGGAACAGAGGAGATGTGGCAGAAACAGGGGTTTGGAGAAAAAAAAGCTGTTTTGTCAGTCTCTCAGTGAATATTTATTCAGCACTTGCCACATGCCAAAAGCTGTATTAGGTCCTCGGATAAAGTTTAGTAACTTTATCGGGATCCATCTCGGTGTTGGCCTGTTCTCCCTGGGGTGTGGGAGAGGGGGTGTTGGGGGGGGGTGTGGGTGTGTGGGTGTGTGGTGGTCTTACACTGATGGAATTTGACTCTGCTTTGGTTTTAGAAAAGTTTTCTTAAGTTATATCATTATAGATTTGTTTTGATCCATTGTTCTGTTGCATTCTTCAGGAATTCCAGTTCTGTATGAGTAGGCTGTTCTTTATCTGATTTCTCTATTACTTTCTCTCTATTGTTTTAAAAATCTTTATTTTCACTTTATTTTGAATGCTTTTCTCATCGCTACCTTCTCCGTCCCTTCCTATTTTCTGCAGTTTCTTCTTCCTTGCTCACATTCCGTTTCCATCTTCTGTTACTTTGTTTTTCCCCCTTTTCTGAGCTTGCATTTCAGTTCCTCCTGTTTTCTTGCCATCTATTCTCTGAATTATTTCTGCACTGTAGTTTTACTTCATAGAGCAATTGCTTCATTTGGTTTTTAAAATTTATTGCAAGATATTTGACCAGTAATTTCTTACGGTCCCTGAGCAACATTTTTTGTTCTATGACTTCTTTGCTAATAAGTTTTTCTGCCATCTTCCTTATTATTTTCTCCAAGTTTTAAAATTGATGTACCTGTGGCATGCATGCGATAGGCCTTTTTGTTACTTGTATTTGAATGGCATTGGATTTTCTGCAACAGCTATGTGCACAAAGTTTAAGTGTGAGGTTGGGGGTTGACCTGGCAGGGAGGGGCTCAGCTGGTTGTTTCCACCACCCTACAGCTGTCGTCCCCTCCAGTGCCAAGAAATAACTCACTCATCTCATTGATTCTTTGTGTAGTTCTGCCTCCCACTGCAAATCTTCTCTTCTTACAAACGAAAGATTTGTCTTTGTTTACCTCAGTTTCAACATTTACTGGTGATAAAGATTTTGAACTTCAGATTATAAATAACCCTCCACTCTGAGAAATGTGTCTTTGCTGGTATTTTCTGACAAATGCCACTGTGTGTGTTTCTTTCCTTCACATCTTCTCATTGGCTTCTCCCTGCTTTCAGCGCTATTGACAGCTTTTAAATATGTTTTGGAGTTTGCAGATGATATCCCCTAACTTTATAGAAAAAAGAATATATGGAGCAGCCTGGGTTTTTGACATGATGGGATACCCCATTTAGCCCGGGACTTTTCTGTGAGAGAAATTTCTAGGAATTTGCATGTTGATAGTGAAATTCCAGTTACTTCCTTTTGAAGGGGAGAGAAAGTATGGAACTAAGACTGCTTGGTATTAACTAAGATACCAAAAGCACATGAATTATTATTTTTTTCTCCATTGTTGGAGAATCCTTGGGAATCAAGGATTCAGAATCCATTCCTAATTTCTCAAGCTTCTCAAGCTTTTGCTTCTTGACGTTGCCTTAGCCTAACATCTACCTCTCATATCATCAGTGTCAAAAGTTAGGACGAATAGCCCTTTCTGGTTGGAGATGATCAGATCTTAAAGGTTAGAGAAGTGGGAGTAAGTATGGTTTGGGGAGGCATAAATACTGTTTTTTTCTAACTTAGTAGGTGATTTGCAGTGGTGAGGGTAAATGCTGAAGAGGCATGTTAATTGGAGAAATTGCTGTGAGAGTGAGATAGTGTCAGGGTCTTTTGACCATGGACAGACTGGGCAGGCAAATATATTCCATTTTTTAAAAAAATCACTGGACTGTATAGGAGCACTGTATTGATGCAGTTCTGGACACATAACCACAAACTAACTGATGAAAGGAGAATTTGTCTAGTTCCTTCCAGAGGAGACCGTACTTTCAATTGGAAATTTTAAAACAACTAACCGACCAAAAAAAAAAACTTTTTATTGGCACTGATCTTACCATTTTTTAAACAAATGCTAAACAAATATTTAAGGCCAATTATTCTGGAGCTATGCCCAACGATTACCCTGCCCAGAGTATGCACTATCTTAATAAGGGGACTCGGCGGTTGGAGTAAAGTTCCTGTGGCAGAGATTGCTGATTATCTCTCAATATCCAATCCCCCACTTAAAAAATAATGTAACCTTGATTTTTTATCTAAGCAGCTTCCCAGCCAACTGAAAGTCTACAGTTCTGAGCCTCCACTGTAGTTAGGTGTACCTATGTGGCCAGTCTAGCCATGATTTATAAATAGAAATGTTTAGATATTTCTAAAAGTTTCCTAAAAGTTGGGTTGAGACCATCCTTTTTCTTTCCTGCTACTTGGATGTGAATGTGATGGCTGGTACTCTGGCATCCATTTTGGAACCATGATGTGACTTTGGCAATGTGGAGGTTGTATCGAGTACAGTCTGGGTGTCTGAAACTGGAGCATCAGTTCAACCCTGGACTTTCATGTGAGAGACAAGTATCTTGTTGAAGCCATTGTTTTTTAGGTCTTTGTTACTGGTAACCAAGTTGGACTTTGCTATTACAGCCCTGAGGAAAAGAACAGACTTATGGAAAAGCATGCATTATTTAGTAAGAATAGCTCACTGAATAAAGACTTTCAGGAAATATCTAAGGCAAGAGGGCCAGATAGTTTCTGTTAAGGGCCAGATAGTAAATATTTTTTACTTTCTGGGCCGTGGGGTCTCCACAACGTCTACCCGCCTCTGCTATTGCAAAAACAGCCATAGATAAAATGAAATCAAACAGACATAGCTGTGTTCCAGTAAAGCCCTAATTACGACAAGTGATGGGCGAGATTTGGCTGACTCCTGATGTACAGGAGGGTGCCACATACAATTGTTTAACTGAGCCCCACTCACATATTCTAAACTCCTCTCAGAGATCTTTCTCCCTCGGACACCCTGCACCCTCCCGTTCTCCTCCCGGTAAGAGTTCCTGACTTGGGTGGTAGCAAGTGAAGGGTCACCTGACCTTGTGCTCATCAATGCATATCTTGAGCTCTGACCCTCTCTTTGCCTAATATCAAGAACTGAGAGATGCTAATAGTAAGTGAAAGACTCTCTGAAATAAACAAGTAGTCAAACATATTTTTAAATTGTTTTTTTAAAAATTCAGTGTCATTTTGTGAACAAGAGCAGATCCCAGGATGTTTCAGGAAGATATAAACTTCTGAATACGGACGTAATTTCATAATGTTAGACAAATGGGCAAATTTTTTCTGGGTTACAGGTAACCAGGTATTTTACAGGTAAAAATTTGTACCCCGGAGGGTTACAGATAACAGCTCTTCAGGTTAAAAGAAGATGATTTTTTGTTCTGGTTCATCATTCAGAACCTTCTCCCAGAGCATCTTTGCCACTTAGTCTATAGGCCACTTAATGTGCAGAAACATTCTTATAGTTCCAAATTGCATATAACAAAAAACAGAGTAGTGATGACTCCTAGAGAGGAGAACTGTGGTCACCGGATATGCTTTGATGCCTTTGCAATATGTATTATAGACATGTACTGAGTAATGAGAAGCCTTAAGAAAATAAATTATGTATGTCAACATAAAAACCTAGATCTCTGTTGTCCAATGCATTTATGAGCACACTGGTCATTTGAGTCTCTCTGTCCGTACACCTAAAGGAATTATGGGGTACAGTGTTTATTTTCTCCTGTGACACAACTGCTTAAAATAGTTCCTAGCCCGGGGTGGGAAGAGAGCAAAGAGGAGCAGAAAGAAACTTAACCATTGTCTTCAGCCTCTAGCACTTCATGTAAGGATGCCACCAATTATTTGTGAACTGTGGAAATGGACTGTGCAGTGGGCTCAGATAGGACAGATGTGGGTTGAGCCCAAGGTAGAGAGGGTTTTGGAGTTAGAATTGGGGGGTTTAAAAGACTTACTTGACTGGACTGCAAGGAAGAGGGGGTGGGGAAGATGCCCCAGGTGTCTGCAGCCAGTGCTGCCTGGCCATATGCTCACACCAGTGCTTCTCCTAGACAGCCACCTTGTTCCTGGGGCTGCCATTTACTCTGTGCATCCTGCTCATACAGACATGGACACGCTTTCCTGGATCCATAAACCCATGGTCAGGGTCTAGCTAGGGCCAAGATGCTAGAAGTAAGCATACTGAGCTGTAGGTGAGTCCCAAGCTCTCTTCACCCCTCCTTGATCCAACTAACAGTACTGTTCTTTATGACTGAGCCATTAATGTTGGCTCATTCATATCTTGTGTTCCTTATTTGCATTTGAGCTTTTCTAAGCTATTCCACGTGATGGAAACTCCGTAGGGCACTATGGCATAGTCACTTGCTTCCATCTTCCCACAATGTTTATAACAGTGGAAGGAGGCTGCCTCCCTGCGTGATGCTTGGTAGGTGGCTCATTGACCCTTCTTCATTACTTAGAGGAGCTTTTGTTAAATGACCAGAAATATTTTATGACATAGGAAGTAGAAGCAATGTAGTCCAGTGGAAGGAGCTCAGAATTCCTAGTCAGAGGCCATCAGCCAAGTCTTGGCCGTGCACATCTTAGATGTCTGATAAAGGGACTTTCTGAGCCTGTTACTTCATCGGCCAACCAAAGGTGCTGACATTGTCTTAAAATGGCAGCTGCAAAAATTAGATGAGCCTGTATATGTGAAATACTTTAA